GATAGATAGACAGATAGATAGATAGATAGATAGATAGATAGATAGATAGATAGATAGATAGATAGATAGATAGATAGATAGATAGATAGATAGATAGATAGATAGATAGATAGATAGATAGATAGATAGATAGATAGATAGATAGATAGATGGATAGATAGATAGATAGATGGACATACATACAAACTCTTATTCATTATAGTATGGCTGGAATAACTATACATGTATTCTTTAAAATGTCAATATTGTTAGGTCTCTTTGGTGTGTATGCGGGTTGATTAAGTGTGTGTGTGTGTGTGTGTGTTCTCACCCCTGCCGAACAGACCCAGATCTCCACCATTCCTCGCTGAGCTGCAGTCGCTGAACTGAGACGCCAAACTCTCAAACTCCTCCTCACCAGACTTAATCTGTTCAATGTACTCTACACACACACACACACACACACACACACACACACACACACACACACACGTTAGTTCATTAGTTCATACGTGCATGTATCTGGGGTCACACACACAGTACAAACACTCAGATAAACAAATACATACACAAACACAAATGTAGACACACATGTACAAGCACTCTCTCTCTCTCTCTCACAAGCACTCTCTCTCTCTCTCTCACACACACACACACACACACAGAACATCATCAACAATAATAATAATACACACACACACACACACACACACACACACACACACACACACACACACACACACACACACACACACACACTCTCTCTGCTCACTCTGGATGAGCTGCAGCGCCTCGTCTTTGCTGCGTGTGATGTTCTCCTCTCTCCAGGACGAGGGTCTGCGGGATTGGCTGTGTTTGACCAGCAGGTGAGAGCAGCGCACCTTCTCCACATCTCCAGCTCCGTCAGCTCCAGAACCGCTCGGCCGCTCCCACTGACTCGCATTGGTGATGTGATTGAAGTAATACACACGCCCTGAGAAGCAAATAAAAACGTTCTCCAATATGTTTTGTCATCGAAATATTCGTACACAAGTCACAAATCGTTTTTTGTCCCCTTTCAATAAGTATGCATGTGAAGGTCTTGAGTGTCTGATTCTACATCACGTATGTACAACCTGGTCATGTCTACTTTCAAAACGGTAATGCGTAAAAACATATGCTGGATATGTTGGCGGTTCATTGCACTGTGGCGACCCCTAATGAATAAAGGGACTAAGCTGAAAAGAAAATAAATGAAAAATTAAAGAGGTATTATCTGTTTTTATTCATATTTTTTCTCTCATTTATCTTTTATCTACTGTATATTTTATCATTTTCATAATGTTAGTATTTTACGTATTCTACACATATCTAAAATGCTTTGGCAGCGCTGTAACAACATTTCATGCCAATAAAGCAGACTGAATTTGAGAGAGAGTGAACCAGCAGAAAACACTACAGCTGCACATCACTGAAAAACACTGTTATAATGTAAAGCAACTGTTCCCAACACTAATAATCCTAATAACACAATAACTGTTATTAAATACTGATGATAACCATCATTCTTTCTTCATCATCTAATCATCATATTAAAATAATTTCTAAAGGAGCGTGTTAACCTGATGACGTGAGTATGATGGTGAATATTCAGCTTCATGTCACAGCAATAATAAAGCATTCAGCCTGCAGTTTACAGTGAGTATATATCAGATCATGTTTGTTGTTAGCGACGCATCTTTCTTAAAAGCCCATTGACTGTAATAAGTTCACTGTAAAGCACATCTTCACAGGTCTCACTGCTGTTATAAAATGAGTATTCCTTATAAACACTATAACGTTGCTCTTATTAAAACAAAGCAATAATTAGGCCCACACAGAATCTGCGCTCGCAGAAATCTGCAGATGTATAGCCCAGTCTAGTCTATGTATTTACTTCTGTACATTTATATTTATTCAGTTTTTAAATTCATTTGTTTTCTTTTCAGCTTAGTCCCTTTGTTAATCTGGGGTCGCCACAGCTGAATGAACTGCCAACTTACACAGCATATGTTTTACACAGCGGATGCCCTTTCTAGGCATGGGCCGGAATAAGATTCTGACGGTGAGATAAGCTTGGATAAAAATGTCAGGGTTTCTCAGTATTGTGTTTACTGCTGTAAAATATACTCTTTTGAAATGTCTGGGTAAAAACAACAACTTTTTCCCCTTTGAAAACAAAATATTCTATTTTTTGGAAGATTTATAGCATTTTGCAGCAGTGAACAAGTCAGGCTGAATAACTGAAATGAGTCATTGAGTTCTGCTGTCTTCATTAGTTTCAGAAACACTGATTTCTTTACAAGTTAACACAGCATCTTCAGATATTTTTCTCCTGGAGATACTGCTGTCCTAAAAACAAACAAAAAAGTAAATAAAAAGTCTTACACACACCCTAGAAACAGTATTACAGAAAATTTTGGTGATTTTACTCCAAACTGTGATATACCTTAAACATGGTTACCATGCCTTGCCCTTTCAGCTGCAACCCATGACCGGGAAGCATCCATACACACACACTCATTCACACACACACACACACACTACTGACAATTTAGCATCAGTTTTTAGATTCATTTCACTAATTTTATTGTGATATAATAACAGTAATATTAAACTGTGTATATGATTTATTTACAATACAGTTGTTAAAGTAATATTTCTGTCTCTTCTAGTAGATATACAGTGAAGTCAGAATTATTAGCCCCTTTAAATTTATTTTCTTATTTATTTAAATATTTCCTGAATGATGTTGAACAGATTGAGGAAATGTTCACAGTGTGTCTGATAATATTTGTTTTTGGAGAAACTCTTATTTGTTTTATTTCGGCTAGAATAAAAGCAGCTTTTAATTTTTTAACACCATTTTAAGCTCAATATTATTAGCCCCTTTAAGCTACATTTGTTTTCGATAGTCTCCAG